CTGTAATGCGACCATATCCCGGAGACAAGGTGAGGCATGAGAAAATAAAAGGTAACATTTTAACCTCCTCTGCAAGGTAACACAACTGGATATTTCACGCTTGTAAGATGAGCACACGTTGAAATAATAAAAGGATTGCGAACCAGCTATTTCAGCTTGTGGCAGGAAGACATTTAAGAGTCTGAATTTATTATCTTTGGAAAATAGGAATGTTTGAAGTTCAGGATCAAACAAGGAAAAAAAGAAAAGTGGAGTGGATGGAAAATAACCTTGAATCTTATCTGCATGACATTAACTTCACTTATCCAATAAACTAAACATTTTTAAGTCAAAGCCGCTTCAAATCCCAGGAGTATTTACTTCAAGGAAACCCTCAAGTGGCACAGCGAGTAGACAAAAGTGAAAACAACTGCAGCATTGTCTGGAGCATTGCTTTCATCATCTGCAGAAATCATTAAGAGTAGATGTTGCCTGCCTTCTTAAACTCCCAGCGTCAGCACGGCTGGCCTGTCAGGAATGCTGTTTTCTTCCACAGCACAAAGTAATGGTGGAATTTTCTCTTTCCATCTGAGAGCTGTATCTCTCCAAACCTGCTAACTGCTGTGCCACAGGAGATGTTGGACTTTTCTTGTCTTAATTGCCCTTTTTCTTCATGTCTCTCACTGTACAGTTGAAGTACTTAACAAAAGCAAACTTCTGTATTGAGCCGTGAACACTTCCTGTGCTCTAATTACAGGGCAGGTGCATAAACTTCACCCGGAGTAAATCCTATCCTGCTCCTCGCTACCCCATCTACAAACACCCCGCCACACCTGTCTACACTTTGCCCCACAGCTACCAGCGCCGTCTGTCGGAGGGCAACGAGCTCTCCCACTTGCCCCCCTCTCCAACTTCAACCCTTCCTCCTCTGCCATCCACTCCTCCGCCATCCTCCTCCAGCTCGCCCATGTACACGCCACCTCCAAACAGAGCCCTGCCCTCAACCAGCAACAGCTCTCTCTCTGCTCCTCCGTCTCCTACCGGCTCTCTGCCGCCTCCACCTCAGGGTCCACCTCCGTGTAGAGCACCACCTCCATCGCGGCCCCCTCCACGCCCCAATCATGACAACCACTGATAACTAAAAACTGAAATACTGGAGGATCCCAGCTCCGAACGGGAACCTAAAAAAGGGCTTTTCACTGTGTCTTTTCACCTGGTGATCACCCACTCGTGGCCCACACCTGCCATGATATGAACTGTGACTTTGTTTTTTTAAGTTTAAAAAGTTAAATTTTTTGGTGTAAATGAGCACAGCTTTGGCTAATGGAGTTAGCATTCATTTCTTTTTTTAAAGAAGTTTTGCTCTTCAATTCAGATAATTTGGTCAAACATTTCAAATTACCAATGAAAATTGTAACCTTTGTCTTTAAACTGTCACGAGTTTGAACAGCAGAAAACCCAGTGCTTCATCAAAGGTATCATGTGTTTTATACATGAGAGTTGGTCCAGGAAGCAATATTTTGTGAATGAATGTTCTTTGAATCACAAAAACATACATTTACACACATTGTATTTAATGGAAGTTGATTGTTTTTAATACTATGAGTATTTTTGAGGTTTTTTGGGTTAATTTTTTTTAAAGTAAGCAGAGCTGGGCAAGCTGTTTTGCTACAAGTGTTTATGCTAAGCTAAGCTAACTGCACCCTAGCTTCACATTCATCGTACAGGCACGAGAGTGGCTTTGATATCCTCACCTAGCTTTTGGCAAGAAAACAAATAAGCATATTTACCACAGTTAAGATTTACACATTGCTGACACAAACATTGTTTGCTGCAGAGAAACTGGTCCACTCGCCTCATCAGTGTGGAAATAAATTCTTTCGCAGACCGGAGATGTTCGAGTATTCAGACACTGAGTTTGGCAGCGTGTGACGCTGTTTAAGTTCTGTCACAAATGTGACCTCTGGAAAGTCACTGTGCGACTGATTCAGCTGGCAGAACGGCAGACTCAGATTTATGTTACGTCTGATTTGTTCACACCACTATGATGTGCAATAAATCATTTTAAAGATAACTTTCCTTTCCTTCTTTTGCCCCGTGTCAGAGATTTTTATCAGAAATTTGTACACTACAGGCACCTCTGCAAATGTTTCCGTTCATTTTGAATGAATAAACTCCTCTCAAGTGTGTAGTAGATGTGTGTAATGTTCAGTATCACCACGTAACCCGATAAATGTGTGCACTTGTTAAGCCTAAACAGATTTTGGCTTGTCACAGTGGAGAGAAGACAGCTACTAGTATCATAGCATATATATATTAAAAGAAAGTCATCTTATGAATCGCTTGTTATGACTCAGCGAGATCCCCAAATCCACACCTGAAATATGTGCCTTCAAAACTACCTGTATATTACATGCAATTTTATTAGGGACACTCGAATAAAAAACAAAAATGAATTAAAAATATCAATTATCTTTTATCTACTGTCACTTCAGAGGACAAAACTATACTCATTTGCTCAGGACTGCAAGACTGAAAAAGTGGAAAAGATCAAAATAAGGTTTCTTTTCTGAGTGGCTCCATGAGCTTTGAAGCGGAGGAAGTGAGCTGCCTGAAGTGATTCTTAATCCTTGTAAAAAAAAAAAAAAAGAAAGAAAGAAAGAAAAGAAAAGAAAATGCCCAATTTTTCCATGTATGGAAGTCAGTGGGAATGGGGAAGTAAAAGAGGCAGATGGACTTTACTGCTGTGCTTCAGTGGGAAAACACCTACAGCTGAAATGTGGACATATACATACATGCATATATAAGTTACTGAAAGCATTTATAATAAACTACAAAACCAGAACATATAATCACAACCACTTTATTAGGGTACAGCTTGCTAGTACTGGGTTGGACCCCCATTAATTCTTTCTGGCATAGATTCACAAGCTGCTGGAAACACTCCTCATGATTTTGGTCCATACTGACACGATAGCATCACACGGCTTGTTGACTGCACATCCACCCTATTGGAAGAAGCCATCAGAAGATGGATATACTGTGATCATAAAGGGATGGAGTCAGCAGCATTACTCAAAAAGGCTGTGGTGTTTTAAATATGCCTGATTTTTACTACGGTGCCCAACGTGGTCCAAGAAAATATTACCAACACCATCACATCACCACCACCAGCTTGAAGTGATGATACAGGCAGGATGCACGGATGCATTGATGCACACGTTCATGTTATTTACATAAACCTCTAACCCTACCATATGAATGTTGCAGAAGAAATGAAGACTCGTCAGGGTGGCAACATTTTGCTGTCCAATTTTGGTGAATTTTTGTGGTTAGGGTGAACTGTATAGCCTCAGTTTCCTGTTCTTAGTTGATAGGAGTGGCACGCAGTGTGTCATATTCAGAGGTGCTCTTCTGCATACCTTGATTCTAAAGTGATTATTTGAGTTATAGTGGCGGGGAACTGTTAGATATTTAGTCTTTTTTGGACTGTTCTCTGTAAACCCTAGAGATGGTTGTGTGGGAAAATCCCAGCAGATCAGCACTTTCTGAAATACTCAGACCAGCCTGTCTGGAACCAACAACCATGCCACGTTCAAAGTCACTTACATCACTCTGCTCTGCTCACTTTGAACATCAGCAGATCATCTTAATCATGTCTACGTGCCTAAATGCGTTGGGCTGCTGCCACGTGATTGGCTGGCTGACTTTTGTGCTAACAAGCAGTTTATTCAGTGTGCCTAATAAAATGGCAAGTTAGTGTATATCGTTGCGATAGGTTAAACCATATTACAACACATTTTCAGCGATGTGCTTTTCGGGTGAGATGTGGCTCTCTATAACAAAAGACAGGGGAAAACGCATTTTGTAACAATCCAGAGCAGCCGGTCAGCTGATTTTCATTAAACTCAGATCTCCTAAAATAAATCCTAATGTAACTTTTCCATGTGTTTTTGTTCAGTTTTTTTCACCAGTAGGAAATGCTTTCGCAGACACGCGCAGGCGGACTTGCAGTCCTGTGAGCGGTGAGCTCATGGAGGCGTGTCAAAGAAAACTTCCAGAAGCAGAGGCAGCAGTGGGATTAAAGGCAGCAAACTGCCGAAGTGAAAGCAAAATACAACCATTATGACCTGGAGATGTGGAAGAAGGTGTTTATGTATCCTAATGCTGGCAAAGAATTCACATGAAAGCAAGAAAAAGATTCATTCAGTTTGCAGCTATACAGGGGAGAGTGTTTGTCTTCTTTTATTAACCTACGCCATCAATGCGAGAAGGAGCAGCAGTGTTTGTGCAGCTCTTTCTCCCCCATACCTTTAAAAACAGTCAAAATAAATGGAGTACTATGCTTTTGCTGAGGTTTGCTAGTGCTACTGTTTACCTTGGCTGCACAAACAATGGCAGTGAGTGTCTTCAGGCAGCTTAATCACCTCAAGTCATGCAGATTTATGAGCCACGGTGCAGCTTACGCACAGCCTTGAGCTAATTTATAATAAATCTCTCGTGCTTATCTATTTCCCTTCAGCTATATAAATCTTTAGAGGTTACTCTTCAAAATCTGGACGATCCAAACAGAGTCAGACAAAAAACTTAATAGTTTCAGCTTATGTCTCTTACAACACATTCAGAACAGAAATGTGACCATTGTTTGTCAAAGCAGTGAATAAAAAGATCTCCATTGTGTTCATAATTCATTTATTTTCACTGGTGATATTTCCTAAAGTCCAGTATTAATAATCAGATAGTATAGATTCAAAAAAATACTACGCATGAACAAAATACTTTTCCAGCAAAGGCAGTATGGTTTATAAAAAAGTCCACATCTTTGCCAAAGTGTGAAGCAAAACTGGAAACAAATTCTTGTAAACCATAAAAAAAAAACCTCACTGAAGTAGCAGTTTATTGGAAATGAACTTGGTTTTTCTAAGAGTTTCTACAAACACATAAAACGCCAATGATTTAAACTAACAGATATGATATATAACTTCTTTAAAGATCATTATAAGGAGCTTGTGAGTAATCAATTCATTCTTTGGGAACTTTATTCTGAATAACGTACAGCTGCAGGTTTAGTAAATCTACAATGCTTTAACTCGGTTCTTTGAAAGTAGCAAATATGAAGAAATATTTAGTTTTGTAGAATTTCTTTGGTTTATAGCAAAAGATTTGGTGTCAGTGGGAACACTAAGTCAGTTTGTTTGAGTCATTTTGGAAAACAAAGGCACAATCTGTATTCTAAATGTGAACTAAGGAGGAAACCGCAACAACATTATAAACACAACTACTCACAATTACAGCACGTACTGTATTAGATCGAAGTTATTTGTGTTTTCTATAATGTTAGAATGCTCATGATTTTCTTTCCTTTCAAAATGTGACACATGGAGGGATTTCCTTAAAAAACTTAAATTAACTTTTGTCAGTGACAGATCCATGAACGATGACCATTTTAGCCAAAGCTCAAACTATTTGTAAAGTGCTGATGTGATGCACTGCGGTTCTCAGACTGAAGACGGATCTCATGGCTGAGGTAGAACATCAAGTTTTAACATGAACTGGTTTAAGGATTACTTCAATTATTTTAAATAGCCAACAATAATCTCAAAAGTAAAATTACACCAGAGATTTAAGTAATACTGCCACTGAACTATATGTTGGCTTCTTCATTACTTGCAAAAAAAAAAAAAAGCTCCTAATTGTTTTTTTGTTTTTTTTAAAGATGATTATATAATCAGGGTTTCTCCTGAGAACATCTTGGTTGAAATGGTGCAGCGGTAAACGGGTCATCGAGAGCTCTACCCCCTATGGTCCAGGAATGTAACGGCCCCACAGCTACTGAGCCTACGGCGGCTTGCTGACCGATCCTGGAGACGACCCGGTGCACGGCCACCGGCTGCTGAAGCAAAGGCGTCTCTGGAGCCGCTCGTCTACTCTGAAAAACGTGAGAAAATGGCGTTCTAGCTGAATGACGCGGTTTGCTGGCTTGGATTTGCTGTGCACCAGACTTAAATACACAAGTGTTGATAGGAACTTCTTTGGTGGTTTCCTGCCTCTTTCCAAACGGGGCCTGGAGGAAAACATCAGACACCTCAACAGGTTTATGAGACGCCACCTTAGTTTCTTTTGCTGGAGTCTTAAAAGGGGCCAGCTGGAAGACATCAGAGGTAAACTGGCTGTCTGGAGGCTGGAATTGGGATTCTTGGTCTAATAGTGTGAAATGAAGACTGGTGCGAGGAGTTTGTCTGGTATGGTGTTGACTGTACCATTCATCTGTCAGCAACATGTGTTTATCATAGACACATGATGCAGTCCTCTGCTGGACTCTCAGCTTTTGTTTTTCCTCTGCGAGCTGCACAGAAGCTGCTGTCCAGGCGGCTCGCAGCTCATTGCTGTTCGGCTCCCTCTGCAGGTCTGTATGAGGAAGAGACACGAGAAAGGTCACCTAGGGAGAATGATGCACGAGAGCTTTTCAACACAGTGACATTTCTTTTCTTATTATTTTTATATTGAAAAGAAATTGATGCTTAATTTAAAAAGAATCAAGTAAACTGCTCCTTGTGACAAAAATCATAGTATTGTCAAAATGGTGCAACATACACTGAGAAAAAAAAAAAAAAATCAAGGAAACGGTTGATCATTAGTTTAACACAAACTTTAGTTAAACTTCAAGGATATCTTTTCACCTGCTTTGGTGCAAATCACAGTGGCCAGGCATTCATAAAATGAATTCTAATTCAAAGTTTTTTTTATTAAATGAATGTACACTGAGTTATCTGATGCATGTTAAAAGTCAAAAACTTGTTAGGAGAGTAAAGAAGAAAATGTGCTGGGGCACAAAAATGTTCAGCTATGCCAGCGTGATCTGTCAGACCTGTATCACGAATAACTGGAATTATGTAATACAGTGTATGAAGGAGTAACTGTTGCTGTTTAATTGCTCCTTTAAAATTCATTATTGATTAAAGATGGATGATTACATTAATAATTATGTAATTGAAAACCTCCATGATGATGTTAGACTAAAAAAAAAAAAAAGTTTCCTTTTAAAAGCATGCATATAAAAATATTAACTGAAAAAACAAATAATGGAGCTATTAAACTGCCTCAATACCAACACAGAAAACGTGGCGTAAGAAAAAAAAATTCTAAAAAATAGACAAATTAAATTAAATTAGAATTAAATCGAGCATGAAGCTGCTGTTTCGTCTTACCTGAGTAGAGGTAAGGTGTTTCCCAGGGAGATTCTTATTAATGCTTTAAACCTATCCTCCTACATAATAACATCACATTTAATAGATTATTTACATACAAAATCCTATTCGAAGCCTTTACTTCAGGTAGATATCATTATAGCAAACAAAAAAAAGTTGAGCAAAAATAGAAATATCAGGATAAATAAACAATGTAGTCTTTATAAACCACTTACACAATTAGCATAGAATCAATACTCGACAAGCTGACATTCACATTTGTACTTTATTTGCCATCCCTTTATAATTCTTTAGTTATCTCACAAAAATAGAAGGAGCACACAATATCACAGCTCTGACGCGGGATTGGGCCCTAATGACAGGAGGCGTCTCAAAACACTCAGTAATATCAGGTAATGGGCAGTGGCCACTTTTGGCAAAAACAAGAGAGGAGAAAACAAACAAATGACCAAAAAAAGAAGAACAAAATAAAAGAGGGGCTTTGTTTCACATCAAGGAATCGTCTCGATTGGCTTTTTTTTGTGTCTTCCCACTGATTTCAACGGCACACTGGCAGCTACAGGGAGAAAGCTCGGGAGTTGCATAGGTTCAAACAGTGACTGCAAAAGACTGAGCTGTTCAGTGGAAGGATCGTAAAGAGGATGCTCAAAAACACAAGCTGACCTGCAGTCATTACGCCTGCTTTTAAAACAGCTTCCTCCACCTCTTTTCTCCTGCAGATTTATGAGGACCAAAAATTTGATGTACTCAAAACACTTCCAATTTTGGGGGCAGAGACAGATAAACTGAAATAACACAGGAGCCGATATAGTGTACGTAATTAAACCTGCTAGCATGAAACTTCTGGTCTTCTTATTAGATCTTGCACAAACATATCAGGACATTTAGAGTGTCCTTTACAAAATAACTTTTTAACGAGTAAAAGGTACACGGAAGCAAGTATCTTCATCGGATCCTACGGACACATCAATATTGCTGACTACAGAGCTGATCCTTTCTAACTCATGACAGTGATGCTGTCTGATAATTGAACCACAGCTACAGCAGGAGTGCAGTATGTTCACTGAAAGACTGGCAGACTGGCAGAGTAGACCTCTCCACACTTCACAGAGCCCCTCACACGTTTCACATCTGTAATTCAATAACTGCAATACGGAGAGCAGACCTCGAGAGGACAACGAGACAGGGAGCAGTAAGCCAATACTGTACATTTCCAGCTCTCGGAGAGAGCAATGTAGCTCTGACTACCTGAGAGAATTTAGAATGGGAGGAGGGTCGGGGCCTGTGCTTTCAGAGGAGACGTGACCGTCGTCATATTTGCAGCAAACATCAACACAAACAGGCTACTGGAAAAAACACCGCCAACAATTTGGACTCCACGCACACACACACACGTCATAACACTGTATACCAACACACATGAACATAACATTCAACAACACTGCCATGCTTTTTGATATGAATCCTGTGACCACTAAAACCGGCTAAGCAACAAAAACAAAAAGAAAAAAAGAAAAGAAAAAGAAACGACTTTAAAAGCACAATTTCAAATGAAGCGCATCAACTCCCGCTCTGAAGAAGACTGTTCTGAATAAAAATATAATCCTTCATCAGTTCATGTAAACAAACAGAACACAGGCTCACTTTCATTTCACGAAGATAGAATAAGACATAGGATTCAGTCTGGCCTTTCAGACTGAACAGACTAGGGTTATCATCTATACATTTTCAATGTACTGACAATTATTGAGTAGATAGAACCAAGAAAGAAAGAAAAAAACTTCCTTAACACATAATTCCACAAAGAGGAATGAGATATTTATATATATTCTTCAATATTATTGAATGATTATGGTGTTAAGAATCATAGATATATTTTGTATTATAGACTAATATTTATTTCTTACATTCATTCTCTAACACGCTATAATATTAACATGTATTAACAGGGAGAGAGAGATTTCACAAGTAAAGCAATATGTTTTCCACAAGTAAAGCTTTATGACAATGACTTCATATAATATACGGTCTGGATAGGAGCCTGCAGGGAGTTGCAGATATCTATTTACACAAATTAGGAGTAAACAAACATAAGGAATGCAGAAGGAATTGCACAATGTGGAATGAATATGCTAATGTGAAAATAATTTGTGAAATGATGCGTTAGTGCCAAGAAATGATATGAATAGTCATGTATGCTCTGCCTATATATAACTGCTACTTTATATCCTATTACTGCTGATTTTTCAAATTATTGTCATGCATTACTATCGATATGGCACGCTGCTATTAACACAGATAAATGACCCCGTTTCATCATTTTTAATTCCAACCCTATCTATTGCCTGCCTTGAGGACGAAAGTTTAAAAAAAAAAGAAATACGAAGAAGCTCAAAATAAGAGCATAAAAGAAAGCGTGCTGGCTCTCACTGCGTGGTTGGACATACTGTATTTTGCTAGTAGTTCAGTTTTGTGGTGACGTTGTCATTTTGCTTTCAGAAATCCAGCAGTTTGCTTCTTTTATTATTATTATTGTTATTATTTTATGGCACTTCACTGAGGTTATGGCTGTCTGGTTTCCAGATTGTAACACCGTTTAATGTTTCTCAGCCTAATCTATAGCAGCTTTAAATTTTTAAGCTATTCCTTCCTACAGCTCTGACAGAGGTAACGTTTCTGCAACTGTGCAAATCAGGCTACATGACTAAGTTTCAAAGAAGTTTGGCTTTTACAGGAATAAACCTCATTTGAATAAATGGTCACTCAATTTTTTTTCTGCATGTTTTTTTTCTTTAAAATGTGCAAATAAATCTGGGGAGGAGAATTTAAAAAGGCAAACGACGACAAATTCACTTGCGCACGATTATAACTACAACCACTTAGAACTATGCTTATTATACATTACAACAATGATCTTCTATAGTTTGCTATAAGGAATAATGCAGTGTTTTTCAGACAAACTGGACAGCTGTATTATATCCTGATTGACAGAAATGGTGTAATGGTTCATCTTTAGAAAGTATGATGATGATACGTTTGCGTATTGGCCACTCTTCCAGAATGCACAATACATGATGCAAGGAGATAAAACATGACGGTGAAGGTGAGAGATGAGAAGTCAAGATAGGCCAGATGATTGGATCGATATGGTGGAAAGGACAGGAATGGAAAAAAGCACTGAAAGGTGATTTCTACTGCAGCAACTACAATGCTGATGACAGCCAAGGGGTGCAGGAAGCTAGCTATGACAACAGTGTTGATCGCTGTTATGCTATGCCAGTCTATAATCCAGTGTTACAGCTTCTATGGGGGGGAGAGTGCCTACAAGTCGATGAGCTGGTCCACCAGCAGCAGGGAGCGGGCCAAGCTGGGAAGGCTGGATTCAGAGCCGCCACTGTTACTGCGCGAGTGGCCTCCTGAAACTGGCCGAGAGACAAAAAAGGAGGGGAGGGAGGCAAGGGGGTCGAGACGGATACAAGCAAACAGAGGTGAGGAGGGGCGCAGGAGCGGGAGTCACATAAAGCAATCAAAGCAAGGGGGAGAGAGGTCAAGAAAGAGAAAAGAGAAAGAGAGGGCTGAATTTACCCATTTCCTTCTACAGGTTTTCAAACATTACTTTGACTGAGCATGTAGAATAATACAGCTAGCTGGTCTGCGTCTCAGTAAATATCACTGCGATTCATTTTTTTCTGGAACCATCTTTCCCATCCAGTGCTTCCTAGAGGAGAGTGTAAAGACATACCTTGGGAATTCTTTCGGCCTGTGACGGGAATAGGGTCAAACTCATCCTCTGTACCAGCCTCTGCGCTGGGTTGCTGGGACTCAAAGTCTGAGATCAGGAGAGACGAGTCTGCACAAAATAAAAGCCAAATAATCCCAAAAAAGAAAACCTTTGAAGTGAAACTAGAGGTAGCTCTAAGGAAAACAATTTTATAAGGGCTTTATAGTGTAGCTGCTTCTTCCACATATAATTTAAGACATTAGTGATAATACGAGCCATTATTGTTCCTCATTACAATAAAAATGTTCTAAAAAAAGACAAAAAAACCCAGCCATTACTCCAAAAACGTATCTGCTGCACAAAGCCTGTTTGATAAGATGCTATGAGGAGAGGCCTGTAGTTATTGTTTTCATGCAGCTGGTGCACAGTCAGGCTGTGATTTGAAGCTGGCACTGTCAACGACAGTCAAAGGCTTTTGTTCACCAGCCGAGAAGCGAAAAACTAAACCACAGCTGTACAGCTGTCACTTTGTGACATAGAGAACACTTCCACAGATTAATTACTTTGCCTTCATTTTTAACTTTTAAAGATTAAGTGAAACACAAGACACACAAACAGGAAAAAAACTAAACAAAACAAAAACCACATGAGGCCAGTCGAGAACATTTTGAATGAAAATGGTTTTGTTAAGCCGTGCTTCTGATGCCACTCAGTGGTGAAAATGTCTTTTTTCTGAATGGTGAATCAGAAAACCAACTCCACTTGGTGAGGATTTCTTTGATCATTTGGTTTCAATGCCTCCCCTTTTTCCACACAGAGGCACAGCAGAAGGCTACATGGAGCCAGACAACAGCCTGCTGCAACATCCACATTAGCTTTTCTGCTAAAGTGTCATTCTTAATTAGCCAACAAAAATAAGACCAAACATGCACCTTTGTGGTAATTGCAAAGCTTGCAGGATAATTAACTGAAGAGGCTGCAGCACTGAACTACAACTGCACATCTCACTTTCACTGGTTAGGTGCTGATATTGTCTTCAGTCTTCAAAACTGTAGCTGACAACAGATGTCGGTTTCTGCTCCCCAGCTAGTGTTCGACAGCAGAGCTCAGTCTGCTGCATGACTGAGATTGTAAAGAACATCGTTGGTGCTATGTCTCTAAGGAAAACACCGCTACCCACAATACAGGAAAGTTTCTGTCAAAGATCAGGTCATAGGTAATGCTGCTTTCAGTTCAGCCCTGGCAGAGTTCCTTACCTGCTTTAGGCTGTGTGGAGTCTCCAGACAACAGGCTGAAATCATCCAAAGCAGAGGCAGCAGAAGTGGGAGCAGAAGACACAGAGGAAGTTGCACTGCTTGCTGCCAGGGGGGCAGATGGAGCAGAGATCAGAGAGCAGCCCAGGAGAGAGTCGTCTGCCGTGAGAGGATCTGAGACAAGTCAGGACAGGTGGACAGAGGAAGAGGTCTTGTTATGGTTGAATTTTCACTGACAACAAGTAAACAGATGAATGCACAGCCTGTCAGTGAGGTTTCTTCTACTACTTTCAAACATTAAAAGAGCCAAGTGTGAAGTTATACACAAAGGTAAATATAAATAAACTTCTC